ACTTTCTGTACATTCTGTACACCCCCACACCTAGATTCTCTTCTTTATTGACTTTAAACTGTCAGGAATAATTTAACCTGTACACAGAATACATGCAGTATTCAGGTTGTTGGGTTTTACGAAGAAAAATATACTGCAAGATTTGCTCTATGGTATTTGAAGTTCACAGCGTTAAATGGCTGGCAGATGTGGGTAGAAACTAGTTACATTTACTCAGTTACCTTTACTTGAGTTTTTTTAAGAGTACTTTTACTGCCCTGCACTTTTTACTTTTACTTGAATAATTCCCAGAACCAGACTCAGGACAATGGGAGATGGGGCATTTTGTGCTGCTGCCCCACATCTGTGGAATGCCCTCTCTGATACCTTGAGGGCACCTCAATCCACTGAGGGTTTTTAAAGAATGTTTCTTTTTAGCAAAGCTTTTGATCCCCTTTAGATGTTTTTCTCTCTTCTAAAAATAGCTTTTTCATGCTTTTCTCTTTTTTTCTGTAGTACTTTGAGATCTTTTGATGTAAAGTGCAGTATAAATTAAAAATATTCTTATTATGATTATTAATAAAAAAAATATGATGAAGTATCTCTATTTCTGGCTATGATATCCATCAAGAGTACATTCACTTAGTAAAATATCAAGCTTGTTTCAAACAAAAAGACACCAGAGAAACAAGAACCTGTAGTTCTTTTTTGTACTTTGGGTTTATTTGTTTACTGTTATTTTATATATATGCTGCTCCCGCTTGGAGCAAACAGGATACGTCTTGTTAATGGAAGTAACTTACGGTATGCAATTCTAATATGTTACATACTGTAAGTTTAGATTTTATATGTTTTATATTAAAAAAACAACATTAAAATAGATTATGTTTGTATAGAATTACTATATGTTATATATTTACTCATTCTTATACTTAGTGAAACTTTACATCACTGTTAAAACATCACTGTTATGATAATGACTGGTAAGTAGATCAGTTACAAATTGAAAAATATTTTTATTAAATATTTTATTATTCTTAATTGAGACGTTGCCTGAACAAAAGCTTTTTGGTTTCAATTCAGTAAAAATACCATGAAGTATTGCTACTCTTTGGGTGCTCTTCCCCCCTCTGGTGCCTGGATTACGCTCTTTTTCTAAAGGTTTGTCATGTTGATGCTATAAATAGAGCTGTGGTTTATTGTTTTACATGCTGGCAGTCCAATAGATTGAATGAGCTGGGGATCATAGTTATAAAGGCAAACTAGAATAGAATAAAGAAAGCAAATATGCACCTGAATGTTAATTTCTCAGGCATTAGGCAGCTAGTAGCAGCTTGAGAAGAGTATTAGTTTCCCTCTGAATGTAGTGACAATAGAACATCTATAAAATGACTTCCTTGTGCATTTTTAAGGTTCAGCAGCAAATAACCCTTCATTCTTTTTGGGGGGTAAATATCCTTGCATTACCTTCACTGCCTTCTGTTTGCCTTTGCTGTAACACATCTGAGCGTATGATAAAAAAAAAAAAAAACATTCTCTAAATAGAGTTTGACTTTTCAAATAACTTGTAATACTATAGTAGTTTTTTAAAACCATTAAGAACATTGCCTCCCAGCTAATGGTTGTGGAAGTAAACGGATTTACATATAAGACAAAATAACTTAATTCAGAGAATGTGCCTATTATATGATCCTAATAATGTCTTTGATTTACCAGGCTGCCGGTTATTAGCAATCTCCTTCTATCAACCATCCTACTATAAAATTAGAACCAGTCACTCTTATTTTAACAGCTAGAGGAACACCAACCAAAATGTCAGGACGTCGGTTAGTAACTGTCCTCTGAGTTGGACAACGGTAAAATCCCATGACCTACAGTCAGAATGTCAACGTCCCCAAATATGAAGGACTCAGTTTAATCAGATAGGCCCACCTGGAAGACTTGACATGAGTCAATCTTTATTCTTTGTGGAAACCATCGATAAATATATTTTCAATATTGTTGAAAACATTTTCTTTGGAACTCCACTCAGTCTATACTTCAATGAACTACTAAATAGCAAGTTTAAAGATATGCTCAGTGAAAGATACCATAGACCAGCAGCCAGTTGATAATTAACATCTAAAAATGTCAAAGTGTTTGATGAAAGTCATCTTTTAAAGCTGATTTCATTTAAAATATGAAGTCGTCGAGACTTGCTCAGTCAGTTTCACGTTAATATTATTATAAATATATGCGGCAATATGACATTAATCACTGATATAATATGATAACATGTATATATCACAGGGGAAGATCAAAGACGGTATCTGTACCAAAATTTATTCCTTGAATCACAAACCACAGGGTGTTACTTTTTAAACATCTAATGTGCTTGGAGGAAGTTTTGCACCTAATTTTTTATGTGTGTAAGTGAGGTGGCTAACGTCATTTTTTGTGGCCCTTGTTTTTCAACAAGTGAGCCTTTGCTTCTTGATCTATTCTATATCCATTTTAACTAATTTTCCAATTTAGCAGCTTTCACGGCTTTCCTCCAAGCCCCTCTGAGGCTATAAAGCCTCCCTGCTTGCTCTATATTGCTTCAGTCAAGGAGACTGATAGAAGCTCTTCTCCCCTGAGAGAGTCAGTGTGCACTTTCAGACCCCCCCATCTCACAAAGCACCATATTGTTATTGAAACTGGAGATGGTTATCTTTCTCTTTCCTACTCTCATTTTGCTCAGTCTTGGGCACACTTACTATGATAATGATGTGATCGTATCACAGTGTCAAGCTGAAGCTAATGATGACAAAGAAGGTTGGTGTCTTTTTTTTTCAAGCAAATTCTTTGTCTTTTTATGCGGTATTGCAATTAATTCATGATATTGCGTTCTTGTTTGTATTTGTCCATATGTTAAAGCATAGCCAGGCTTCCAATAAAGTGTAATACCTTTTAGTTATATCCTTTATAGTTCTTTTTTTCAAATATGAAACATAGAGCCCCTGAAAAGCTAAAACCAGAAAGATACTAAAAACTAATCATGAATGGCTGTGACTTATCAGATTATCACATGAAAAAGGAGAAATCCTTAATCGTAATGTAATGTTTAGTTCTTGTTTGAGTTACATCTAAGGAAAAGCAGTTGATTGCATCGACTCATTGACTCTAAGGCAATCCCTCACACCAAGCATGCTTGTAGCGACAGTGGAGAGGATTCAGGTGCTTGTTTAATCACTTTGAATAGAAACATTTTTGTTGTTGTTGGCGAATGATCTTGTTCTCTTCATTCTGTTCAAGGTGTTTTTACTCCTTAGCAACACTTTCTTTAGTTCTGTTAATTCTGTGCATCCACCAGTTCATATTCATTAAATAATCTGGATGGGTCCATTAATCATAAGCCCTTTTAGCTATAATGTTCTAAATCAGCTGATCTGTTGGGGATGATCATCTTATGTCATGAACATATTTGGTTTCAAGCCTAATTGTTTAGATTTCAGTCTTTATTATTTTGACAGATCATTTGGGACTCGGAGGTTGAAGTTTGTTCAGGTCCTGTAGCAGCAAAACATTCCCAAATCATTAGGGTCGCACCACTGTGTTTTTCAGGTTTTTTAGCTGATAAGCTTTTGTAAACACTTTTTTCTTTGTCTCTGGTCAAACATATTAGCCTATTTAAGGACATTGACTGGAAATCATCTCTATTTATTTTTTTCATTCTATTTCACTTGCAGTGTTGATAAGCTAGGCTATACTGCCAACTTTTATTAATGAACTATATTTGTATCTGTTTACTATTCTAAACAAGTCATACTTATTTAATCTTTACCTATCATAATAATATAGACATTTTCATAGTGTTTTAGCATTTGATTTAGGGATTCACTTCCTTACAAATGTGCAGTAGAGATAATCTGTTATAAGTTGTAAAAAAAATCTCTTAGGCTGTTAAAAGATTCGAAATAGTTTTTTAAGCTTGTTTAAGGACTTGTTTTCTCCTTCTTTCCTGCTTCATTGTTTTCTCTTTTTTACAGTATGCTTTATTTAATAAACAGACATGATGTATTGGTACTGCAGAATGCCTAATGCTAAATTTTGGGTCCTATCGCTACCTAGTAAGAAAGAGATGATTGAACTGTATTTTTTTGTTTTGCTGAATAAAAGTAGAACTGACGATGTTCAGATATTTGAGCTCTGAATCAGAGGGCTAGAATTTCTTTCAGTGCTTGACGAGTGTTTTAGCTGTAACTTGTCAGACCTTTGAATAAATCAAGGAAACCAGAGCTCATCTATGCCACCAAATCATCATAAAATGATGATTCAAAGAAATCACACACGTGATTTCCACTCCATCAAAACACATGTAAGAAGTTAATTTTATGCGTTAGACCTATTTGCTGTGTGTCGTTTTGGGGACTGAGCTTGTAAAAATACAGGTTTTATATAACTGATCAAATTATTTAATACATCCTACATCTTTAAGACTATTTTCTAAAAGACAATCATGAAAAAAGCAACTATTAGACCACACTATTTCCTACAATCCCTTGTGTTAGTTATATAAACTGTGTAGAATGCAAAATATAAAAAAATGGGTGTTCTGATTCTTTTCTTTACTTCGTATCTCTTCTGTTGAGTTTATTTGTTGATCATGAACATTAAATATGTAGCAATATTAGTGACATTACATAAAGATAGTTTTAAATCAATCTTTTTACATGAAAACCCTTTTCTTTACCCTTGCATTATATTTTCTGGTCATATTTTCTCATAGTTAGGGCTTCCAAAGACACAGTAGATTTATTGAGAAATATTAAATAGTCATCTTGCAGCATCTTCGCTCAAGTTTTTTAAGATTTTGTGGTTTTTAAGATTTTTTTGTCATGTGTCCAACAGTTAGAAATTATACAACTATTAGAATGCAAGTCTACATGCAGTTTACTTGAAAATCTAATGAGAAGTTTTTTTTGTGTTTCATGTCTGTAAATATCCTACTTTATGCTCTGTTCTCTTCTCTGGATTTATTTTTTATTTTCCTTCTGCAGTTACCCTTCCTGGTGCCCTTCTAGCTCCGGTTTCTTCCACATCTGCAACTCGTCGCTCCTCGTTCAACTCCTCCTCCTCGACCTCCATGCAGACCTCATACCGACTGCCAAATCCCCTGCCACCCCTCCCTGTCCGAAAGGGTGTCCGAGGTCGCCGTCCCAAATCACAGACCATTGCTTTGTTGAAAGCAGCGGCTGAGGCGGCAGCAGCAGCAGCAATTAATGGAGCACCTCAGAGCCCAGTGACTGAGACGTCGCTGGCCCCCAGACCACACAAGAAGAGAGGGCCCAAGCCGAAAGGCAAGGTGAGATGTCACAATTAACTTAAACTATCTTGCAATGGAAAAAAAACTACCCTGTCATATTTATTATTTGTATTTGTTTATTTTCTTTTTCTTTTCTGTAAAGTGACCTTGAATATCTAGAAAGGTGCTGTTAATTAAAATATATTATTATTATTGCATTCTTGCAGAGATGAAGGTGCAAAGTCTTATCTGTGTAGGTGTGTGAAAAATCTGCATCGCCATTCATTTGAATTGAGAAAGCTTCCTGGAGAGGTGGCGAAACGTCTTCAAATCTTGAAAACCAAGTCCAGTGGATATTTTTTGAATTTTTACGGAATCGCCATTCATGTTTAGAAAAGTTCAAGTATACCAATAATCACCAATAAGGTGCATTTTAAAGCTCAGAGATTTAATCACAGGTGTTTTTTTGCCTTTTGCTCCAGAAGAAGCCTCTGATGGGAGAATCCCCAGGTTCATCACCAGCTCCAACTCCGCCCCCAGAGACCAAACTGAACACCAGCCACGTCTCTATGGACAGCAACCTCAGCAATGGCTCAAATGTAATTTGCACAGGTAAATCTCAAATATTGTTAACCCCAGTCAAAGTTTTTTGTTAGAAATGTAGTTTTAAACTTATAAACCCCTGGTTTGTTCTCCTGTATCTAAAGTCTGTTACCTTTACCTAAAGAAATAGGCAACAGAAATAAAGTTTACCTTGAACTCTTCGTGTTCCATTTAAAAAAAATAAAAGCATCCCTTAGCCACATAGTGTTTTTTTATTTTTTTATTTTTTTAAATGCTATATTTTGAAATAATGCATGGTGGTGTCTTAAACAGCAACTGGCAACTTGGGTTCCTTTTTTTGGTGCTATGATAGACCTAAAACCGAACCATAGCCAACATGTGGACATTGGATCAATTTAGTTCAAAATGTTTAAAAATAAAATACTAAAAAAAATAAAATAAAATCTACAGTTCATCTCCACTTTAGGACCAATCACAGTTCTGAAAGTCTCTCTTATGACCTCTGCAGTAAACCCAAGGTGAGATATCAACTGAAAATAGACAGTCAGTCAGCAGCACAGTCTGTTTTAGAGGCTATAAGTGAGATAGGGATGCACAGATTACAGGTTTCTGGCTGATTCTCAATCTTTAATATTGCCGATTTTGACCAATAGAGATTTATTTTATAACTGTAACTGTCAGATATAACACAAGATATTTATATCTTATCTTACTGAAAAACAATCATTGCACATGAAACAATAAAAACCTCTGAAATAACTGCTTCCGAATATCAATGAAAGTTTGAGGCATTGACAGTGCGTAGCTTTTAGGCATTTGCAGAGGCAAATCAGATTAGTGGAAAAGATCCGTTTCACATCTAAGTGTTGGCCGATCACTGATCTCTCAATATTAGAAAACTCAAGGCCGATTGGTCGGCCTATAATTTGGTGCAACCCTTTTATTTATTTATTTTTTTTATTAAATCAACATAGATGACAACACAGGATACATTTACAGAGATAATATACCAACCCAAAAGCCTCCCTCCCATACTCCCTCCCCTCACCCCCTCACACTCATTCATTCACCCATTCATTCGTCCACAAATGACATTTTCAGAATAAACATTTGAGAGCTTCCATTTTCTTTCCAGGGAAAAGAATTGAAGAGAGAGCCTATTCTTAATAGTTATATAATAATATAATAGTTATATTTTCTGGCTTCATTATCAGTTTCAACCATATACCTTTCTGAAGTCAAAAAATGCTGAATAAATGTTGTAAAGAAATTAATAGTAAGTGAAAATCTATTTTTGGCTTTAAAGATAACATTTTTACCAAGTACAATGATTAAATTAACTAAGTTGTGACTGTTGATAAACTCTCCCAGTAAAACAGAAACCACAGCAAGCCTTTTAAACAGACCAATCCTTAAACACATTTTTTCAACTTCCACCCAAAATACACAAAAGACACAATATTACAATACCAAAACAAATGCAGGGTGGATTTAGACTCCTGACAACAGAAACGACAATCATCTGACTCTGTCATATTTCATAACTTTAACATTTTTCCAGTGGGTACGAAATTATATATGATTTAAATTTGAAAATAACGATTTTGCACATCAACAGTGGTTTTATATATTTGTTTAAATATTTTATCCCATGGCAGCAGTCCTCACATTTTCCATATTTGTTATATGGGGAAACCTTCAGTGATTTTTTTATTTATTTAATAAAATTGATATATTTTCTATTTATTTTAATTCCCTTTTGCCAATTAGAGTTTCTTATTGGAGGTTTACACACATATAGTTTAGTAGTTCCATTGTTTAATATTTTTTTCCATTTTCTTCCAATTACAAAAAAGTTTGAACAAGCATCACCATACATAGCTCTAAATTCCTCACACTCCATAAGTCTACCGTTCTCATTAACAAAGATAACTCCTCTTTCGAACATATTTTTCCAAAAGAAAGACTTTCCATCTATTAGTATATTAAAATTCATCCATATTATCTGCTTCACAATGTCATCTCTTTTTCTTGTACATAAGCTTGAAAACACCACCATGAATGGATTATTTCCTTTATGAACCCTGAGATGTTCTCTAGCAGACTTAGATACGATCTTTAAATGATTGCGATGGACTGAGTTTAACAAATGGAACAATCAGGTTTTTGTTCAGGACCAGAGGTATAAAAAAAAAAAAGATGATCTGAATAAAGCAGTGCTTAATACAGTACCTGGCTAATATGGTATGATCCTTTTATTTAAGCATGGTGGTGGCAGCAATGTTCTGATGTGACAGATTGAGAGGGCGAAAGAGGATGTAAAAGAGGGAAAGAATAAATAAAACTCATTGCCAGAATGTCAATTTTTACTTAGTTTTTCTTCTTCTCTGATCTTTATATCGGGTTGTGTCTCTTCAGTGTGTGTCTATGTAAACAAGCATGGCAACTATGGCCCACATCTGGATCGAAAACTGGTCCAGCAGCTGCCGGATCACTTTGGTCCAGCTCCAGTCAACGCAGTGCTTCAGCAGGCTGTTCAGGCCTGTGTGGACTGTACATACCAGCCCTCTGTGCTGTTATCCTTTCTACAGAGCCAGTCCCACTCTGGAGGGGAGGTCATTAGAGGTAAATTCAGTGAAATACATATTATTTTATGCTAAGCTAAAGAAACCATGCCTTTACTTTCATAGTATCCCCAATTTATTTACCTACATGTAGGTGAAAATCAAAGAAATCTGTTATAAAAATGTTGAAGCAGTTCTGTCTGTTTTAAGTAAATGCGCATTATTGTTAGAAAGGTAATGCATATTTATAAGTAAGATAATAAAATATTGTGTCTGTGGCAGTAGTCGATGTCAGAGCTGTTTCTGTAATCTGAATTGACGTGTGTCTAACCTGGTTTGGGATCCTTGGATTCAGTTTTCCTCCAGGGAAAACTGTGAGTGGTATTAGGAGGGGGCGGGCTTTAATTTGGCTTGGCTTGATGGGAGGGCGTCATGCCGTGTGGAACTGGGTGGAAAACTAACATCTTATAAAGGGAGGGTGCTAACCCTGAACCATCTGCTGTTTTGTTTAGCTGTGAATGCATAGCATGCATGTGTGTGTGTGTGTGTGTGTGTGTGTGTGTGTGTGTGTGTGTGTGTGTGTGTATTATGTGCACACAGCAATTGGTTTTCTTCTCTGGTTTTAGTTTGTTCAGAGCATGGTATTCGCTATGTGAAGCTGCCCTCTGCATCCAGTGCCTCGTCTGTGCTGCGGTTCCTGGAAAACATGTGCCAACACCTGGAGAGTGACATCCTTTTCAGCTCACAGCCATTCAACCCCTACACCAACAACACACGTTTCTACAACAGAACTAAATCAGGTGGGAAGAAACAAATATATATATACATGGGTAATGGTTTTTGTCTTAAATCTTACCTAAGAATATAATTCTACTTATTCAAAAGCTTACACTCTAACCTTAAATATCACAAAAGTACATTTGTGTTCATTTCTCAGTTGATTGTTTTTGCCAAGCTTTGAGGCACATGATTGTGAACCAATGTTTCTTTTAGGTTTCAGTGTGTTAAGTAGCGAATGAGAACTCAATGTGTCTGCTAAAAAAAGTGAAAAAAGACTTCAAGCCATTATTTAAGGTCTGTTGCCTTTTTTTTAATTTTTTTTTTAATCTCCAAATGATTTAGGAGATTTTAATACAAATACAGACTTGGAAGAAGAAAAAAAGCCAAACCTAATTGCAAAACCTTAAGATAAATATCAATGTTCCATTATCCTTAAAGATTGCAGTATCTTATAGTGATTGTTAATGAAGCATTTTTAAGTGTTTCAACACATTGCCAAACTGTATTGATACTGTCTTACAGAGTACTGACACCTGCTGGACCTTTAAAGACACTACAGGCAGCTTATTTGACAGACTAAACTGAATTGATTTGATGACCTAGTACAATGATACAATTTAAGTTATTGTAGGTTATATTGTATTATTTCATATCTGTTTAAATTGGAAATATCTTGGATATTTTTAGATGCAGCCAATAAATAATGTAAACGTATATTATAACGTGAACATTTAGGGGAAAATGTGAATTAGGATGCTTGTCAACTAGGATTTTAAATCATATTTTTAAATCAAAAAGTACAATAAAAACAATAAACAAACTAAGAGTCAATTTGAAAAAGTTAAGTGATGTGGGAAAGTATGACACAACGAGAAAAATTCAAAATAAAAACGCAACGGTTGAAACGTTCCTATTGCTTTTAGGCTGCTCCAAAATTCTTGATAATTTTAATGACAAACCACAAAAGATGATGCATTTTTTTTTAGCAGATGCATCATGTTGACATATACGTTTTTCAACACAATTTAGTGTGTCAGTCAGTTAGAAAACACAGATGACATCCGCACCGATAGTGTTTTGCTCTATGGTCTCGATGCATGCACCGACGCATCAATCACTAAATTCTTACCTCTTTTAGGTCACTCCAAAATATCATGGGACTAGCAGAAACATGGTTGAAGCAGATCACTGCTGAATTGTACAGCAGCCTAACAGCAAAAATTTTATCAAGTTCACACAAGCCCTCTAAATTCCATTTCTTAATATTATCTCTTAGTTGTGCGATTTCTAATTTCTAAAGTGTGTTCAGGTCATCCTCAAAAAAGTTCAATTAAGCCAATTAATTATTTTACTTTTAAATAATTCTAAACTAACTTTCTAGCACCAACATGAAATCATCATAGTTCATTTTATCTGTCAACATGTCTGTTAACATGAGTAAAAAGTGGTCTAATGCCTGCATGTGTATTAGGGCCATTTGTAAAAATCTTTATTTTGTTTAAGTTTATCAGCTAATGAAAGTGTTGGAAATAAGGACCATTCAGTTGTATCAGCTATAGATAGAGAAGAACTGAAACTAAACTGAATTAAGCTGTTGATTTGGCTGCTAATCAGTAATAATAATGTTATTGTTAAAGATGAAAGAAAAACATAATTGTGAAGTTTAACATGAACAGAGAGGTATACCCTGACGCATTCTGACCCATCAAATCCTGACAAAGACCAGCTGCATATCTATGCATAGCAGCAATGATGACACAAACACACTGCAGCCACCATGCTCTCCCCTTGGAGGAGGCATAATGTGGCTGTTGTCTACAAACACCACCCCCATACATGAACACATTCGTGGTTCTGTATGGAGACTGCTGTCTTTCTTTATTTAATAAGGACCTTGTGCCGGTTTCCTTTGACACCCCTTTCTGTGCCCTAAACCTCATAATAACCCCAAACCTAACCATTACCAGTTCATATCTAACTTTAACCTTTACTCGATTAGCTCTTAACCTAACCCTAACTCACTTTGACACAAATAGTTTGATGGTGAAATGGGAAAATGGTCTCCACTCTGATGGCAAAACATGAGCACACTAGCTACAACATATATTTATATGCATTATTATTTTCCTTTTGTATAAATCTTTTTTATCTTTATTTGAGGTTCAAGGAATATTTACATTTACCTCTCTTAAATTAGAACCACTGTCAGTCACGGAGAATGGCGTTTCCAATGACAATCCATCCAAGGACCCCACACCTACCCCTAGGCCCCTCCACAACACACTGGACTACAGATCAGCAAAGAGGGAGCGGCCGTGTTATCCTGGGCACACAAAAACACCACCACCACCCCTCCGACGAGTCAGCTCCAACCCCACTGAGTTTGGCCCCTTAAATACACACAGACGAGTGGAGGGTATGATAACAGTTTCACAAAACTCAGCTAGTCTAAAAAAAGAGTTGAATTGAGACTCTTTTAATCAGTTATATATATATATATATATATTTTTTTTTTTAAGATCTGTTTGCATCAGAACACACGCAGTCCTGTTGCTAATATGTGAACAAAATTATATACGAAAAATCAATTAACTTATGCAATTCATGTTTTCTTCCTCTCCTATGTACATCTATTGATACCCATTAGTGATGCAGGAGGGATGTCTATTTAATTAGGCTTTTCTCTGTTTTGTAAACATTGTACAACAGCTAGCTCAACAACAGGTCCCGATCACATGAAACAGGACAGAGAGACTACAGGGAACAACGCTTCCTCCTGGTCAGTTGATGATGTCATCAGGTTTGTCCAAGAGGCGGATCCACAAACCTTAGGTCCACATGTCGACCTGTTTAGGAAACATGTGAGTATTACACCTACATACGTACTGGCTGTAGGTGCTCAAATGTATGATACCAGCTGCATGTTTTCTCTTTAGATCATCCATAGTCCTTGCTCGTCTCCTGGCTCTTGAGCTTCTGTTCTCTTCTTTTATCAAAGAATTTAGGTCTGGAGTCCACTGTTGATTTTTTTAATTTTTTTCCAGTGAAGTCTTTCTTGTTGATTCGGTTATATATTCTGTATCATCATCCTTTTGGTTCTGAGAGATCAAATGATGACCCATTTGAAGTTTTCTGGTAGTCTACCATTCAGTCTACTGGTATAATAAAGTCATGCTCTCTAGCAAGACTTAACAACCCTTTGCAAGAGAAAAAAAACCCCTCAGAGTATAGAAAAAAAATATACATGAACTGCAATTTTTTCCTTTATTTGACACAAATTCTATCTAGGTTTTGCTGCAAAAGCTCTCAGTCTTGGTAGCATTTGAACAAAAAGAGGCGGTCCATGTTTAAGCCTTTAGCTCAACTTTCTTTGCATGTTAGTGAGGGTCAGACATAAAAAACAGCCGGCATGTAGATAGTGTCTGACGGAGTTAATGAAGACTTGTTGATCTCAAGTTGCCACATTCTTGTTTGTAGATTTTTGGGGGGGATTTTTTTATATTTCACCCCTGTCTTCGTCCTGGTCGACTCAACAGAAATGGACCCCTATTCAGGTTCCCACACATGTGGGTTAATCACATGGGACATTATGTTCGCTGATTTTTAAACCTAATAAACAGAAAAGGAATTATAAATGACAGTCTCTAAAAAAAGATCTTAAGAAAGAAGAAGTAAACAATTAGCATATATTTTAAAGAGATTATCAAGGTTTGCATCACTTGTGTTTGACTTAAACATTTTTTGTTGGGAGGGTTTATTTTCCCTTTGTATAAATCTAGATTTTTTTATGTTTAATGTTTTCTTCTACAGATAAAGAATAATTTCTTTATCTGTATCTTTTTTAACTGCTTTAGCATATTTTTTTTCCAAATGAAACAAGGTAAACCTCATTAGCCTCCTTTATTTCTCATCTTAATTGGTGGCAGTACTAGGAAAGTGGATATTTGTGTTTCCTATGAAGTGTCCAGTAACATGACTATTGTGTCTGTGAAGTTTGAAAAGGAAGCATTTATCTGTGTTTGAACCCTTGTAATCCAGAGTCTGCTGTCATGTTAATCTTCCTTCAGGAGATCGACGGCAAGGCTCTGATGTTGCTGCGGAGTGATGTCATTATGAAGTACATGGGACTGAAGCTGGGCCCGGCTCTTAAACTGTGCCATCATATCGAGAAGCTGAGGCAGAGCAAACATTAGATAATGACGATGATGATAAGGAGGAGGAGGAGGAGGAGCAGGACGAGGAGGATGACGATGATGATGGGACTGATTTCTCACTGACAACCAAACATTTATCAATCTGCAGGAAATGTAGTCCAGTGCAATAACATCATCATATAACGACATTGATGTTTTGTTCTGGTATGTTCTGGGAATAATGGGTTTTTATTAAAAGGAGAACTGCTTACATTTTAAGATATTTTAAAGGTGGAAATTGTGAATCCTAGTTTGTCTGAATTTATCTAATATCTTAATTTACACAATTAAGTATTTTTTTTAAGTAGAATTGACATCAATGTAAGAATAGAACAAGTTGTTTGTGGGCTTTTCAAATTTTGGGGTCGGTACAGTGAGTTAACTGTCTCCCATCTAGTACAACAAATAGACAAAACAATAATAAATAATTAATTCCAAATTTTAAACAGATCTGAATTTGAAAGCTTTCTAAAATACTATCACCTCCCTTGTACAGAGCAAGTTCGTGAAGTGAACAGACATCCTAGCATAGGCATCAGTTTTGACTTATTTTGTTGTTGTTTATTTGCCTTATTTTGAGTAAATGAGCACCATTATTTCTGAGTCCCAATAAATATAATTTTGCATTGCTACTCTTAAGCTGATAAAAAAAATCTGTACGGCAATATTAGGCCAGATATGGTGCACAAAGTACTGGAAAGGTTAGTCCAGATAGTAAATATGTCATTTCAATGTAGTCAATACGGTTGCTGAAAGTCTGTTATGATGAAATGGTGAAATGTAGCTTCTGCATGCTGCAAGATATATGGACAGGGATGCTGACAGGGACTCAACAACGATAACACCTCAGTTATGGGAATTGCAAGGGTTTGATCTTAAAATTTTTGGAGAAGTCTTGTTTGCTTAAGTCAATCGGTAAAGTAAAATTTTATTGGTAAAGAATATGCATTACAATTAGCAGAGCGGAAACTAGTTTGATTCAGAAAGTGTCAGTCTCATATAAAAACGCCTTTTTGAGTTAAAGACATTCATGCTGGTCAGCTTCCTCTTGACTGCTGATACTCATGGAGTCAAACACGCTCAAAACCAAGGCTTCATCGACTGGGATAAGTGTTTTGATATGAACATAAATATCACATCCTTTATAGCAAAAGTTGGGATTGCTGTACAGGTACGGCTCCTGCCTTTGGGACATAAGAGAAGTAGTTTTGTAAAAAAGTTTAACATGTAGTTTTTTTTATAATTTTGGACTGTAACTATATGTACCAGCCTGTATCAAGTGTAACCATTTTTTTTTTAGCCTTAATAGTGTTTTGTGTGACATATGCTGGTGAAGATTCTCAGTGATCCAGGTCATAGTCATTCAAAAAAAAAAAGAAAGTCAAAAACAAACCACTGGACTTTGTTTCCAAGTTTGAAGACATTTCGCTTCCCATACGTGAAGCTTTTTCAATTAAAAATGTCGGAAATAGCATTGATTTCGACATTTTTTGATGGACTACTGTATAAAACCTTGAAGTCAACACTATTTCTGACATTTTTAATTCAAAAAGCTTCCTGGATGGGAAGCAAAACTTCTTCAAACTTGGAAACAAAATCTAGTGGATTGTTTTTTTTAGGAATGTTTTGTGTGACCATAAAAAATCTACCTGCAAGTTAATAATGTGTTTGAGTAAATACACTCTTGTTCAAAGTGTTGATCTGTTTCTGATGGCAGAAATCCTTATTTTCTGAACATTTCAGAATCATTCTCAAACCAAATTGTGTCTGCATTTCACACTGTCTCTCCTGTAGTGCTAACAAGTTGATACTTGAAACCATGTTGCTTTAACGTGAAACTCAGGATTTTAGTGAGGGTCTTAGAAAATTTGTTACATCATAAATATGTTGTGTTCAGTACAACAGCATAATAGTCATTGTTGATTTGTAATGCCAATGTATTGCTCTGTAGCATTTCCTGTGTATTGACAAATTTTCTACTGTATCACAAGCTTTTTTGACATGTCTGCTATGCATTCACACAATTAAAACATTTGTATTCATAAACTGGTTTTGTGTAAGGCCAGGATGGAAGCATCTAGCAGTGTTTCTCTAACTTTGTTTTTTCCCCAATGCCAGTTATTTTTATTTTGTGGATTTGGATAGCAATGATCATGGCTACTGTGGAACCACCAGGTCAGTCGCCCCAGAACTGGGCTAAATAATGACTAAAAGGTTGTTTTTGTGTTTCAGTTGTAATCAGGGCAGGTCTTATACTGACCTCTGGAGGTGTGTGAATGTTGGTGACTGCTCTGTTCTGTAGCTTGCTGTTGAATTAGATTAATGTCAGATTGCCTGTGCCACTGCACCTGCACATTAGATCTGGGCTGGAGCTGAGCACCTGTGGATGAAATTAGGCTACTTTTTTTTTTTTTGAAACGCAACTACTAAATGGCATTTTGATCCAAAGCCTTTGGAGCTCAAACTCAAACATGTCACACCAGAATGAGTATACAAAACAACAGATTTGAACCATCAGGCATGTTTAGAAAGCCAAAAGTGCCACAATTCAATAAATGTAGAAGTTCCAAAAGTGTATTTTTAAACCTGAAGAAAACAAAACAAACAAAAACACATAAACCCATTAATCCATACATACACTCTCAATACCTATTAGAAATAAGATCTCATTATGAAAAAGAATTTTATATAAAGACATTTTCTTTAACTATTTACTGGAAAAAAAACAATACAGTGGAAAATTACTAAAACAAAAAACATTTACCAAGATTCTTTATTTAGACCCAAGGATAAAATTGTTAATATCCCTCATTTAGTGAAAGATTAACACATAATTGTTACAGAAGGAACTTAAATCTGACAAAATTATATAAAAGTAATTGAAAGTCAGGCGTTGCTTTTCAGCCGTGCTTCAACAGAATGATTAAACAAATATAAATCCACGAAATAGGCCTGGACAAAAATTATGGTACCCTTAAATTAATATTTTGTTGCACAACATTATTAGTCACTGCTTCAAGGGATTCTACTTACGGTCAACCAGCCTTTTGTATTGAGGTATATGGCTCAGTCCTCATGAGAAAATTGCTCCAGTTGTCTCAGGTTTGAATGCTGCCTTTTCCAGAGGGAATATATCAGCTCCACCCATAGATGCGCAACGGGATCTAGATCAAGATGGGGGGAACGGTATCTGATGGGCTTCTAAACCCCGTCAGATAGATTTCCCCCTGTCTAACATGGGGTACGGTATCTGATGGGCTTCTAAACCCCGTCAGATAGCGTTCCCTCTGTCTAACATGGGGTACGGTATCTGATGGGCTTCTAAACCCCGTCAGATAGCGTTCCCTCTGTCTAACATGGGGTACGGTATCTGAAGGGCTTCTAAACCCCGTCAGATAGCGTTCCCCGTGTCTAACATGGGGGAACAGTATCTGAAGGGCTTCTAAACCCCGTCAGATAGCGTTCCCCCTGTCTAACATGGGGTACGGTATCTGATGGGCTTCTAAACCCTGTCAGATGGCGTTCCCCCTGTCTAACATGGGGTACGGTATCTGATGGGCTTCTAAACCCTGTCAGATGGCGTTCCCCGTGTCTAACATGGGGGAACAGTATCTGATGGGCTTCTAAACCCCGTCAGATAGCGTTCCCTCTTCTTAACATGGGGGTTAGGTATCTGATGCAGTGTAAATATCATCAGGCTGCATTATGGGTGTGAAGTTTTTTAATAGGGCGTTTAGATCTGGCAAGTATGCAATTAATAACTGGGGATGTCTAATTCTGAAACCCTGTGTGTTTGGGTTGTTATAGATACTGCAACATCTATCCATCCATCCATCCCGATTTGTCCCTTTCTCCATATAGGCTAGCATTTGATCCTTCACGCTCTCCATAGTTCCCCTGTGGTGTGAGCAAAGGGCAGCTGTTACGCGCCTTTAGCGAGCATGCGCGTTTCCTGTCGCCTGCGCGGTGCATCGTGCCACCTACGCTGTGCTTAGATGCAGGGGAAACTTTATCTGATGGGGAAACACAGCTTGACATAACACTGGTATTTCCATCTGGAAAACGCTGTTCTGCTGCTGGAGTCCTCCTCACTCTCCATTTCTCTGTGTGTGCTGTACTTTAACACCCGCCAGCGGAAACACCCACCTATCCAACTGACAGGCGTAATCTCACTATACATCAGCCAATCTCATCCTCCCCTCTCTCATGACAAGGCGTACAAGTGTCCTTTCGTGAAAAAAAAAGGTTCATCGTGTGACCTGACTAACGTAAATTAGTAACACCGTTACATTCAACGCCATTACTCCCATCACTGCTAGGTATATGACCAAATATGAAAAAATACACCGAAAGTTCTGCGTATACCAGCGTTTTAGGAGATTCTGGGACGTCAGGCAATGTTGGCTAAATCGGCAAGGTGTGACATGGCCCTCAGGCTCAGTGAGTATTAGCATTCATTTTAGAACTCTTACTTAAAGGTATAGTGGAGGATTCTCTTTTTCCAGGTGGAGCATAAAAATACGTGCTGGTCCTAATTGTCAATCATTCTGGTGACATGTTTTTGTAAGGTTGTTCTACGTGCTCATCCCCATTTAGCTATCTTTTTCTGCACATGCACACTTTCAGCTGTACACACCGCAGTCCTTTGAAAATGAATTATTTGTGTGACGCGCGGTGGAGGCGGAGTTATGTGACCAACGGGGAGCAAAAAGGTGATCATCTGTCAGAATGGTCAGTTAACTGAGCTCACTATAAAGTCCACTATATAGTCCCCATTCTATGTAGTGATGACAATCGGACACAGTAAGCTTTTATGACCTATGTGAACAGCAACTTTTTAACCGAGCATTCACAGGAGAAATGGGCTCCTGCATGCTCTCGCAGGTGTTTAATAGGCGTTCCCTCTCAGAAGCAGGGGCAGGGTTGTGCATGTGCCAGTGGGTCTCTTAAAAGATTTGGAAAATCCTCCAATACACCTTTAAGAAACATCATGTTAAGTCCCAGCCTTTGGCTGTT